GACTCCTGAACTCTCACTTCCAGCTTACACTGGTGTCTCCTGACGAGCAGCCCTGGGAGCTGTGCCCAGCAGGCGATAAGCTCGCTGCCCAACTCCTGGCACCCTGCGGCGGGGTGAGTCGTCTGGTTTTTAACAGCTCTCCTGTGTTCCCCGTTCTCAGCACCGCGCCCCAGGTGATGGGCACCAGCTCGCCAGCCCAGCAGGCAGCGAATGAAGCCAAAGCCAGTTCTGCCATCACTATCGATGAGTCGGAGCCCATCACCAACATCCAGATCCGTCTCGCTGACGGTGGGCGACTGGTCCAGAAGTTTAACCACCATCACAGGTACAAACGCAACATGAAGCGCAGGTCACTCGCTGCGAAGGCCTGAATGACGCTGCAGGCTCCACGGATGTTAAAATCCTGGCCAGCCTGCTGAGGGGAGCTCTGGGGATCCTTCGGTGTGGAAGAGGAAGTAAATCACTGTGGGCTTTTAAGGCAGTTGTTCATTGTTGGAAGGATAGGATTTGCTTTCCACAAGTGATGGGCTGTAGTCAGTGATGCTGCACCTGGGGCCTCCAGTACTGTCAGCAGAACTTTCCTTAGTGTCACCTCCAGGGAGACCTCAGAGCCCCTTCCAGTGCCTGGGGGGCTACAAGGATGCTGGGGGGGTCTTTTTCCAAGGGCAGGGAGTGACAGGACAAGGGGGAATGGGTTTAAAAGGAAATAGGGAGATGGAGATGGGACATCAGGAAGGAATTCTTCTCGGAGAGGGTGGGGAGCACTGGGACAGGTTCCCAGAGAAGCTGTGGATGCCCCATCCCTGGGAGTGTCCAAGGCCAGGCTGGATGAGGCTTGGAGCAACCTGGGCTAGTGGACGGTGTCCCTGCCCGTGGCAGGGGGGTTGGAACTAGAGGAGCTTTAATGTCCCTCCCGACCCACACCATTCTGTGATTCTATGATTCGATAAACAATCTGAGTCTCTTTTAAGGGCTTTCAAAATGGTCACGTATTTAGGAACTTGTTTCCATTGTTCTGGCACTCGGTTCAGACTTTTCTGCGGGGCTGTTCCCGGGGCTGAGCGCAGCACCAAGGGCTGCTCGTACAGCAGTTCAGTTCCCTTACGCACCCCGCTGCTTCGTTAGAGTTCCCTCCCGAAGTCCTCCCCTACCTGATGGGGGAGAGCGTGGCCGTTTGTTTAGCGTCGTTCCTCCGGTTTTGGCGAGAGGATCAGGCATGATGCCGGCATTAGCCAAAGCCACCTGCGACCGGGGTAGGAGACAGCTGCAGTGTCGCGGCGGCGGCTGGCCTTGAGGTCGTCTGGCTCAGGTGTGTGCGGCGAGCTCAGCCGCAGCAGTCGCGTCAGAGTTGTCGCTCTGTCCATCTTGCGGGGCGCAGGAGCCTCCAGTTTCAAATATCTGCCTGGCAGCGGGAGTGTTCCGGCTGGGCGGTGTAAAAAAGCCGTTTAGCTGAGTCTTGAACCTCGCAGGCCGCCCGTGTTGTTTCCCAAACGGGCACCTACAGAGGAGCAGGTTAGATCGGAATTGCCTGGCTGTGGCCTCTGCTGGCAGCTGAAAAGCCGATGCGGGGTTGCAGGCTCTGGGAAGGGTGAATGGAGGCTGGTGCTGTGGGCTTTCACGGGGATTCTGGGTAACGGGATCACCCTTGTGTGTTTGATCCCTCTGAACAGGATCCGTGACATCCGGCTCTTCATAGTGGATGCCCGGCCAGCGATGGCTGCCACCAGTTTCGTCCTCATGACCACCTTCCCGAATAAAGAGCTGACTGATGAGAACCAGACCCTGAAGGAGGCCAACCTGCTCAACGCCGTCATCGTCCAGC